CCTTCCCTGCTCCCCCATCACACCCACACTAGGAGCTTGGCTTTCACACCAAGTGATTGATTTTAAGCAGGGGTCACATTGCACAAGCCCACAGGACCCCCCTTTTCCAGCACCACCCTCCTGTGGGGTGCGCAGGACTCCTGCCTGCGCCGTTTGTCAAAATCCTGCCTGTCTCCTCTGCCCCCAAACCTTGCAAAGAGGATGGGGTGGGGGACACGCCCGCTGGGTCGATGTCCTCCACAGTGGGAGTGGGACATCCCTGCACATCTTGCCCGGCCCCTTGCACAGGTGCAGCTCCTGCACACACTCCATGAAAACGGTGGGATGGTGCCACTTGGGGACCGGCTCTTCGTCACTGGCGGCCACTGGAAGGGGATGGATGGGGACTACCAGGTGGAGATGGAGGTGTATGACTGCACCAAGGACCTCTGGACATGGGAGGGCTCCCTGCCCTGCCTCTGGCTCTTCCACAGCTCCTGCTCCATCTTCATGGACACCTCCAAGTGGACAGAGGCTTTCCAGGGTGACCATGGGTGGTAGAAGACACAGAATCACAGACCCCACAACATCCTGTGTCACCCTGTGCAGCCACTCTCCTCCTCTCGCCTCTCCCCCTGCTTCTGGTTCAGCTCTGCAGCTGGGGAGATGGAAACCGCTCTGCCAGGATAGCCGGGGCATTGGGAGTGTGTTTCCCACCCTGCCACTGTGGGGAAAAGGCTTTTCCTTATAAACGTGCTTTGGCTAATGCTCTCTTTTCGTTTGGGTTTATATGTTTTTTTAAAATAACCCTGCCTTTTTTCCCTCCCAAAAACCCCAAAGTTTTTAAAGTATTTTGAGGCCTCCCAAAGTGTGGCCCATCCCATCAGAGATGGGCATTGCTGCTTGGTTGCCATGGGCTCTTTCCCCATCATGCTCTTATCCACCATGGGGAAACACAAGGGCAACTGGGGGAATCTCTCTTTCCCAACACCCAAAGCTCTCCAGCACCTCACTGGCCCACATCGCAGTGTCAGACCTGCTCCAGGATCCCATGGAGAAGAGTGACAGGCGATAAACCAGCTCTTGATGCTTCATCCTGCTTTCTTTCCTGGGATCATAGAATCACGGAATGTTGTGAGTTGGAAGGGACCCACAAGGATCCTGGAGTCCAACTCCTGTCCCTGCACAGGACAATCCCAAGACTCAGACCATGTGTCTGAGGGCCTTGGCCAAATGCTTCTGCAATCTTGTCAGGCTTGGTGCCATGAGCACCTCCCTGGGGAGCCTGTTCCAGTGCTCCACCACCCTCTGCCTGAAGAACCTTTTCCTCATGGCCAACCCCCTGCCACTTCCCCTGGTCCCATCACTGGTCACCAGAGAGAAGAGATCAGGATGTGCCCCTGGGACGTGACCAGAGGGTCATGGTGAAGCAGCCAGCACCTCTGGCTCCCAATGCTGGGACAGAGCTGGGTGGTGCCTCCTGTCCCATCCCTGTCTCTGTCGGTACCCGGTGGCAGGGGATACCCCAGGACGGGGCGAGCACAAGGCAATGGCCAGTCCCGGCGATGGCTGGTCCCACTGCCGGCACTGGGACCTGTAGCTCTGCCAGCGTCGTTTGATGCCAATCTGTTCTATCTGGGGTTTTTTATTC